TTTCAAAATTGTTTCACTTATTAATTATCCATAAATTTATATCATTTAGGATATACATACATATTGATTTCTTATATAATATAATAATATACTATATATAAAATAAGAAATCAATATTTTATATTATGGGTTAATATTGTAGCTTAAGAGATTAACTTTTTGGTTAACCTTATATTTGTCGACACCACGCCTATCAAATATGTATAGGTAACACATACGAATAAAGATGACACCAGGCCTATTCTATTTTTATTTTTAGTCATCCTTTATACTGTATAAAGGATGACTAAGAAAAGGAAAAGGAAAAGTTTCAGAAATTTCTTTATATATGTAAAAATTATACATATATAAAGAAATTTCTGAAACTTTTGAATCTTTCTTAATTTTTTTGAAGTCATATCGGTGAAGATTATCTGTCCATCAGAGGCAATGAAAGTTCCTGTATGCGATGCGTCATAAATTGTTAAAAATACGTTACTTTGGAGCCGCATTAGCATTTGAAATATAGGCGTTCGGTGTCATGTTAGTTTCTTTTTTCAGTTTTGTATTAGTAATTTTAGAAGATAACTCCGATATGAAACTACTTTATTTAGTTTGTGCTAGAAAATGTTTTCAGTTTACCACAAATTGCTTGTAATATTGTTTATAGTTTATTTTTAAGCTTTGTTATTTATAAGATCACTTTAAACCGCCCATCAATGAATGTAATCCTGCCATACAATGAGTTATAAACTGTGTGACAGTACCTTAAGGTCCAATTACAGTATGCCAACGGCCGAGACAATCCAGTAAGCCAGTAATCAAGCCAGTACAATATAATTGAACGGTTTCTTATTTTAATGAACTGGCTTACTGGATTGTCTCGGCCGTTGGCATACTGTAATTGGACCTTAAGGTACTGCCACACAGTTTGTAACTCATTGTATGGCAGGATTACATTCATTGATGGGCGGTTTAAAGTGATCTGATAAATAACAAAGCTTAAAAATAAACTACAAACAATATTACAAGCAATTTGTGGTAAACTGAAAACATTTTCTAGCACAAACCAAATAAAGTAGTTTCATATCGGAGTTATCTTCTAAAATTACTAATACAAAATTGAAAAAAGAAACTAACATGACACCGAACGCCTATTGTATTTCAAAATGCTAATACGGCTCCAAAGTAACGCATTTTCAACAATTTATGACGCAACGCACACAGGAACTTTCATTGCATCTGATGGACAGACAATCCTCACCGATATGTCTTTAAAAAAATTAAGGATTCAAAAGTTTCAAAATTTTCTTTATTATTCGCACACCTAGATCTAAACTAAGACAACTCAAAAAACTAATTTGGAGGTTTGACAATACATTTGTTTACGTAGCAGGAGCGCGACCACTGTTGATTCAACAAAAAAAGAGCTAAAGTTATCTAGCGGCTCATCCTCGAACCTTTATTGAATCTGTTATGTTGGATAGATGCGTATGATCACCGAGTATTTGAATAATGTACTAAGTCAAAACTCACTCAAATTTTTGAGTTGTCTCAGTTTAGATCTAGGTGTGCGAATTATGTATAAAGGGCAACTAAAATTAAAAATAAAATAGGCCTGGTGTCATCATTTTTCGTATGAGTTACCTTTACATATTTGATAGGCGTGGTGTCCACAAATATAAGGTTCACCAAAAAGTTAATTTCTTAAGCTACAATATTTAAGTCAACAAAATTAACCTATAATATAACATATTGATTTCTTATATTCTATATATATTATTATATTATTTAAGAAATCAATATGTATATCCTAAATGATATATATTTATGGATAATAAGTGAAACAATTTTAAAACGGTTTCATCACGTTTGTACTTAGTTTTATTGACGTCCCGGATCTTTTTGTATTTTTTTTTTAATATGTCCAATAGTATTGATTTGAAGGTAGCTATACTCTTAATTAAAAAGACAATCAACATCTTAGTCTTGTGTGAACACGAAATCTGTAAAGGGTCCGAAACGTCAACAAAACTAAATACAAACGTGATGAAGCCGTTCAAAAGTTGTTTCATTCATAATGTAACATAAAATATTAAAGTAACTATTGAAATTAGATGGCCATTTCAAAAAGTGCAGCGACTATTCCTTTTTTATCTTTCTTACATAAATTTATTTTGATAAATCTTTATATTACCTAGTTGGGCATGTCTATTCTATATGTTTATAAGCTGCGGTCTCCAACACTCAATGGCATCGGATACCCACTCAAACGGTATGTATGTACATCATCTAAATGAAATATAAAACGACCATAAAAGTCTTCCTTATTCATGATCATAACTAATATTAAGAAAAAAAAAACCGGAAACTTATACTAGCAGAGAAAACCAACTGTATTATGATTTAAGATAAAGAAATAAAGATAAGTATCTTCATCATCAGCCCTTTTACGTTCCCTCTCCTCAGGGGCTCGGGTCATCCTTATGAGTGGTAAAAGAGGATGGGCCATGACCCTTCACGCTGGCACAATACGGATTGGAAGATATTAACAACTGCAAATTCATCTGTTACCAACGGTTCAACGTGGTTTTCGAAGCACGGAGTAGCTCAAGTTCATAATTTTTTGGCCACCCATCCCGTAACAGGCTGTTGCGAAAGTTGCTTAACAACAACGATAGCGGGCCGCAACGCTTGTCAACTACGCCATCAAGTAATTATTGAATAAATATTTATAATTTATTAAATAAGATGAAAGTAATTAGGATCTTATAATATCTATGTAGAAATTGTGTTATTTATTAATCAATAATGTTGAATGTTACTGTGTGGTCACTCATTAGTAGACGGCCAAGTATAAACTGACTGAAAATTAAGCTAACTTCTCCCGTGCGTCAGATAAACAAGACGACCACGTTTTCATGCGTCATGTAAAGAGTCCCATTCATCCAGTAAATTGGCACGTCTTAAGTACAGTTACCGCTCTTAATGTTTGTTTTTTGGTTGTTATTTTTTTTTCTCGGTAGAAATATAAATCACAAATCCATTCATCCAAAGCCATGACAATCGATAGTAAAATTTTCTTTTTTAATGCCGTAGGGGAATACCGGATTTAACGCGGTAATCCGAAATTCCGAGAATGGATAGGTCAATGTATTTATAATCGATATTCATTATTAATTTCATGTATCTACTCAGTTGGCACCTAATAAGAAACTTTCTATAATAAGCTTAAGTAATCCAAAAATGAAAAGGTAGTTTGGGATATGTTTGAAAATGACCAATATGTAAATAATACTTTCTTCTAATAGGACAATTTCCAAATTAGATTAGTAATGTAATTATACCTAATTGAATTATTTAACAAATCCGATTAAAACATTTTCCAAAGCGAGTTCAAAACACGCAACGAATCGTTTTAAGTTCAAAAGAATCAGAAAAAAAAATCTCAAGTCGAGAAAAATATTCTTAAAAAAAGAAAATTTACATTGACACTTTTACTCACCCACTTCTTTTATTGGTCAACCGCATAAGACGCACTCACCTGATTGGCCGTTTTAAATGGGGTTCTAATGAGTGAAAAGGACACTACGCCTAGGTTTGAGAGCGTGAGCGATGAACGTGAAAGGGATAGATAGACACTTCTCTCGTACTTACAGATAAAGCAAAGCGTTAACGGTGGGCGCCTAAGGAAGTTGACTACGACAGATGCATTGTATGCATGCTCTCTTGTAAGATTGGTGCGTGAGAGATATATTATAATGTTATCATTATACAAAATATATTTTAGAATATTAGCTTTTTAAGTAGGTGGGCTAATATTAGCCTATATAAATATGCTTACTAATAATAAAAGAAATAAGTAAGCACTTTAGCATATTGAAATTGGAACAAAAAAATGAATTTTAAAGTCTCATTGTGTAAATCCAGATATGTTTTTTAAGGGAAATTAGAAAAATAAATTAATTTCTAAGAGTCAAAGCTACAATATGACTGCATTCAAATTAATACCTATGTGTATCAAATATAAAAATGTGTGATCAAAAATAAATGCGTTAGAATAATTAAAAAACGTTTTTCTGCCTTTAGATAGAAAACTATTCGATCGCCTGGATTTTGGTTTCCAGTTATCCAGTCGTTTGATATTTTATAATTTTTAACCGACTTCGAAATCGAAAAGGAGGGGTTTATGTTTGACGGCAATATATGTTCAATTTTATATATGTTTATTTCCACCAATTGTTGACTGATTTAAAAACCTCTTTTATTCGACAGCTTAGTAAACCGAGGTGGTCCCATTTCAATTTTATTGAAATCTAATCTATAGTTTTCGTTCTATTACAAAACAAAATATGTTTTTCATATATCATCTAAATATTTAAATGATATGTTTATTTCAGCTATAAAACAAATTTACACAATTTACACTGTATAAAATAGGTACACCTATTACAAATAGTCAATGTTGTTTAAGTGAAACTTAAAAATCTTTTTACATTTAACTTTTAGTAGGTAAGTATACCGCAACCGAAAATACCGGATAATCCGTAAAAATATATCACGTAAAAAGTAAACTTGAAATTTTAAAATGCAATATAATGTAAAATCCGAATTATTAAGTCAGTAAATTAACTATGATGGGACATTATCAGTTAACATATTGTTTAATGACTAATACGGAGTTTATAATTATTAATCAGACACAATACTATATTCTTCAATAAAATTACTAAATTAAAAAAAAAAATATCAATGTAATCGGTAACACACCAATTCACTACATCATCACAATCCGCACAGTGACCTAAGCGATCAAATCGCATTTCACGTAAACATCTTCAAGAAAAACTCAACGATCCCCACTACTTATACTACTTCAGATGGTTTTTTACAAAACGACCGCGTCAAAATCCCTCCGTCACGTTCTTACACTCTGAGCTTGTGCCAAGCAAGGGTATACCCGTCTCTTTCTGAGGCTTACCCGAGAAACAGGCGGGCAATCTATCACGCAAAGTTTATTCGTTTGAGGGACGCTTTTGCGGTAAGGCGAGCTCTATTCGTGCGGTGAAGTGTCGATGTGAGATTAGGGATAAAATACAATAAAAAAAATGGAGACGAAACTAAAGAATTTTAAGGATACTCTTACTTTGCAAGACTGTGAGAAGACGAATTTGAGTACACCGTTCTCAATAAACGACATATTGACCAAAGAGAATGAAGCGAAGTTTTGTCAGGACGTCGGTTTTGGCGCGCGAATGGATTTCTTGGCGAAGGCAACGAGTTGTTATGCCAAAGAGGAGTTTCCAAAGAAGGAGGTTCTAGAGAAGAATCTGAAGTACTACGACGATTGCAGCAGCTACAGAGATTACAATGACGATGGAGCGTTAGATATGTCTAGGAAGAATAATTATTCTGTCACCGAACTTTCAGGTAGGTGATTCTCAATTTTAACTATTACCTTTATAATTATTACTAATAAATTCGCTCTTAACATATGTAGGCCTTAATCGCTTTCAGTAATAATGTATTATGTCTGCAGTTGTTTTTCTTTGATAGTATATCCGTTCTGTCAATATTTTCAAAAGTCTTAAAGATTTTTAGACACGCTTTTTTTAATTTTTCTCAGATTTCAATTTACGTAGTCTATTGTTTTTAATTTTTCATTGTAATTGAGAATTAATTTGTTCCGTCGTATTATAATAGACGAGGACTAACTTAAGTACCAGATTCGATATTGTGATTATCAATTATTACGACTATTTAGTACCTTCTTTTTACGTAATCGGTCTATTCATTGATAATGGACCTCCGATTTCCAGTATGTTTTATTAGATCACTCTAATTATAAATGACTAGCCGTAGGTACCTGCGCCTTCGTGTCGCCAAATCTGTCCAATTGTTTCAGAGATTAGCCGAAGCAAATAGACAGACGGAAAAGATAAAACGTGTAAAATATATTATTTTGGTATATGTAACCTGAAAAGCGGCTATTTAACATTACAAACATACACTCCAATTAAATTTATTTGTATAAATTATTTTTTACAAGCATTTGTTAACTTGGTTAAGTTCCAACGTACATTTTCAAAAGTAGTAAATCAGATAAGATAAGCACTATTTAATATAAATAATATAACATTGAAGAGTTTAAGAGAAATCGCTCGGTATGCGATACGGTTGTTAAGCAACTTCCTCAAGGGCCGGCCATAGGATGGGTGACCAAACATTTATTATCTTGACCTCCTCCGTATTTCGTAAGGTACGTTAAGCCGTTAGTCCCGCCTGCATCTACAGACGTTAACATCCACCAATCCGCACAAGGCCCGTATGCTTGGTCATCGCCCATTCTCCTACTCGATTAGATTCTCTCCCACTATACTCCTATAAGCCCGTGCCCCAGCAGATGATGATGATGACATTAATAGACTGATGATGTTGAAAATTATGAAATGTAGATAATATTAATATCAAGTCATCCAAGTTAAAGATAGATGCTTGAAAAATTTCAGCTCCATCGAAAACCAGGAATATGGTCAAACTTAGCTTGCAACCTTTGAACGAGTCTTTTTTCTCGACCTACAAGCTTGTAATAAAAAACGTCCGAATGTTGTCAAGTAGATATCCTTCCACTTATTAATAAAATCAGGTGCCCCGAGATAGGACTCCAACCCATAACCTTTCGCAATCCGGGCGTCCATTTGACTGAGACTATATTGGATATTTTCAAGCATTATTCACTATATAAATTTGTCAGTATAGCATTGCAAATGCAAAATTGAACAATTATTATAATTTAATAAAGCACTGAAATATACCTCAATATTACTATAAATCAAAAATGTCTTTAGAGAGTATCTTTAGAGAGTTATGATGTAAGAATTTCAGTGATGAAAAAAGAATTTGTTCTTTCGCCTATAAATTTACAAATTTCTTTGCAATAAAAATTATTTCTTGCATTAAACTCATTAAGGAACTTTCACACTACAGATTCAATTAAATCGGTGATCGGAACACGCCATCCGCATATAAAGGCGCCACCACAATAGATCCATTACGCAAATTGTCCCCGGTCATTAGACGCGGTGAAAAGAAGCGACAACTAACAGTATTTTTGCGTGATGTTAACCCCTATTGTTCGGGTTTCCGATCATTTATTATGCGACAAATTTGAGATCGGTATTTCACAATATTAATCTCAACAAATTGCGGGCCCCTAAAAGTCGAATTATATTGGGTTCTATAATGATGTAATATAGCTATTTCATAAATGATATAAAATACACTTCCGTTTAACGATAGGTATTTTTTTAATTTGTACGTAAGTATCTCCTAAACTTTTAAATTCTTTTTCAGCATAAGGCTGTAGGTATCTTATATAGATAATTTACAATGAGAAGCAAAAAATCATGCTAATATTTTATATTAAAATATACAAAACCAACCGTTATAACTAATCAAAGAAATTTACATAAATCGTTTCAGCCACGCACCGAGGCTCCGAACTAGTAATTACTAAATTGAATGCTTGAATAGTGCTTTTAAGTCATCACTTATCGTAATGAGGGTGTCGTGCAATCGCGCGAAGTGACGGCTAAGTGGCGACGTCGCCGCGTCGCACCGGCCAGTGTGTGTGCGCCATTACACCGCTATTGTTGTCGCATAATTATGGCGCGACTAATTTGAATTTGGAACGTCATCGATTATAGTATCGGTTTAAATATATTTAGAAAAGATTTGTGCCACTCTAAACTAATGTTATTAAGTGAACTCATTTAGTTACCTAAACTTATAGGTGTGTAGTCTTAGTATTTTAGGTGTTATAACAAGTACTTGTTTTTGTTACAGATGACTACGATTCTCGCTCATCCAACACAGGCTCACCAGTCCGCCGCCACACTTCGCCCAGTTCTGACATAGGCTACAAACACTTCAGCTTACATTATGACACCCGCAAATGTTCTACTCCTCCAAACGACTCCCGTGTTGGTACTTCGCCAAACTACTCCGATTATACACAGAATAGCGGTCGCAAGAAGCGTTCACGGGCTGCTTTCTCTCACGCTCAAGTATATGAACTCGAACGGCGATTCAGTCAACAACGTTACCTTTCAGGGCCCGAACGCGCCGATTTAGCAGTAAGCCTTAAATTGACAGAGACTCAAGTCAAAATCTGGTTCCAGAATCGCAGATACAAGACAAAACGCAAACAGCTCCAAATGCAGGAAAACGGCATGCTGGCGGCCGCCGCGGCAGCCGCGAACCACGCGAGAAAAGTAGCGGTTAAAGTACTTGTCAACAATAGTGGACAACCGACATTGCCTGACATGAAACCTTATCAAACCCCTATTTTAGGTAAAGGAATAAATCCAGCCTTATTTACATCACCGAATCTTTTGGATGGATCGCCGATTCTGAAACATTTCGCAGGCGTCTACGGAGTAGATTTCGCGAAAAATCCCGAATACAAAGCACTGTTGCAAGAGTCCTACAATCAAGCTGTATTACAGTCACTGTACGGGCCACATTTAGGAGTGAACTATCCTAACTTACCATTGTCCTATATGTATTATCCTGGTCACCCCGCCTTCGGTATGTCACTGCCCTGTGATTTGGACAGAAGTCAGAGTGAACCAAGGACTGAAAGTGCGAAGCATTTCGGTGAACATTCTCAAAGAGAAAAAGATAAAGCAGACGACAAAAGGAAAAGCCCCATCGATATAAACGAAAATAGCAATGAAAGCATGGCCAGTAATATTGAAATCGAAAATTGAAAAGAAACTTAACACCTAAAACGAGGCCTACACCAAATAGTCCGCACTAGATACTCTTTTATTAAGGAAACAATAGAAAAATGAGTTTCAGCTGTTTCACATACCAAAGAACTGTAAAATGTATCAAAGAATGTTATAAATAGTTAGTAGAATTGTTAATGTTTAGTTTATTATTAATGTGTTGTAAATATGTTTAACCGGGTTAAATGTTTAAGTAGATTATGGGGCACGTTTGTAAATAGTACAAGATAGAGAGTTTAATTAAAATTCAATATAAATTGACTCCTTTTTTTATTTAAAAACCAATTGATATTGTTATGTAATTAGCCATTAAGAGCATGACTATCACAAAATTTATACGCAAAAACACTAATAATCATATTTCTAACTTGATTGCGATTTTCAATTGCCGCCTTGGCGTCGCTATTTTTGTTTCAACACCCCTTTGAGGCAATATAGAAAAGGCACATTTTTATAATTGTTATTTCTAATTTTAATAGCATACACAACTGCTATTATGATATAGACTTTTTAGTGTCTAAATTACGTAGGTATATTAGTTCATTTTTTAAAATTGGGAAAACATTTTGTTACACTGAAAAGTTGGTTTAAAAACAGAATCAGCCGAATGATTTATCAGTTTTGTACGATATTTCAAAAAGGAGATTTTTCCTCGGTCTACCAGTTGTTTAAGTTTTTAAACAAAATAAAATCTCTTTAAAATGACATTTGCAAATTGGTTATGATACCTATACGTAGCTAGCAACGAATCAAGCTCGTCAGTAAATAGGTAGGTAGGTATTGTTCCTTTGAACTTTAACACGGTAAGTAACCACTACTAAGGAGGTGGGTAAATAATAATAATAATACCGGGAACTAGATGTGAAGCAGTCTCTGCTGGATTTCACGTCCTTCCCCAAAATTAGAGGTACATCTGAGAGGGATTAGAGGCTATGCCATGCACGTTTTGACTAGTCAAACACATAGAATAGTCACACAAATCCCCTGTCGCCTGTCAAGCAGCAGGGATAGTGCATAAAGAATTCTCCCGACAAGAATCAACAGCTTTATAACATGGCACTTTTATATAAGTTAACTTATCACTCCGGATCCTGCGTAATTATTGTTTTTTTTTTTTTTAAATAAGACAGCTATATTTTTTATTTTTTGAAACGGTCCACTCGTCGTTGAGTGAATCCATTACTCTATTATTATAAATACAAAATAAAGTACGTGATAACCGTCATGACTTATATTGAAATTGAGAGATAATTGATAATATCCATCATATCATAATCATATAAAGCAGGCCCTGCTGAAAAAAGCAGCAGAAAAAAAATAGACCTAGCTGAAATTTCCCACCGGTTCATCTCAGTACAAGGTCTCCTGTCATAAATATGGGAACCGATGGCATAGCTTTCGACATTCAGAAGTGCTTGTAACGGCCTTGACTGAATAAATAATATTGAATTTCAATATATCATAACTAAATATACAAATAATATTGCGTATAAAATTAAGGACAAAGTTAACATATATCTAGAAATTAGAACAATTTACATTATTTATATATTTCTCTAAGACAACCTATAATCAGACTGTGCTCATTTGAAGCGTTATAAAAGTGGGCAACGCTTATTTGAGTCTGCGGGTGGTGGGTAATTGTAGACGCCTCAAGTGCAACGGGGAAAGTGAAGAATACCCGACAGATAACGCAAATTGGACAGAACTCCTTTGACGATTAGTAAGGAGCAGGCTTTAAGAAATAAAAAAAAAGCTACAAACGAAATTTAAAAATTCAATCAAAGAATTCGGGCGAGGAATTGTTTGCCATGTTTTTAATCGCCACACCGAATAAAGTTAAGATGCATATTGAGATTATAAGATACTCAAGTATTTATAAAAAATAAATGCTCTCATTACTGAGCACATAGCTTGCGATTATTTTTTTTTAATGTTTATATAATTACGTTAACCAGTTCCTGGCATTTCATGTATTTTTTTTTATATTACGATATATTAAATTATTAAGAACGATAATATATATATTTTTAAAATTATCGAGAATCGATAAAAAGGTAAAACATTACTTTGTAGTGTAACAACGTATATTACACTATAAATTAGCTAGACCTAATTTATGACAATAAGCCTAACCCAAAAATATAAAGAAAAAAAGAAACTCAATCTTAAAGTACCTACATATGTACTAATAATTAAAAGCGTTGGGGGACGTATTCAATAATTATTACTTTTGGAGCGGTGTTAGGTTTTCAATTCGGTGTTTTTTTTTTTAATTATTGATTATTTTTTTATTTTATACTATGTGTAGGTACGTACTTGTAATAATGTAGATTCTTGTCGAAAATTTTCAAATTTATATTTAAGGTATAAATTACATTTAAGGTAAAGCTTGTTCGTTTTTATGTTACTTATCAGTTACTGGTTTTTGTTTCTATAACTAATAATGGTTTCCTAATGTTTATATTAATCTCTAACTCTTTAATATAATAATGTTCTCATCAACTGAAGCTAAGAACACTCTCGATTAGGTTATCAATATTGTCTTTCATTTGAGACCTAACTCTAGTATATTTGCAGATATTTGGTTATTCTTCCCACTTTCAGCCTCTCATAACTTTTAAACGGCACAACCGATTTTCATAAAACATGTCTAAGAACACTTGCACATAAGTAATAATAATAATAAACAAAAAAAAAATCGAAATTGAAATTGCTTTATCCGTTCGGAAGCTATGATGCCACAGACAAACACACACAGAGACACGTCAAACTTATAACACCCCTCTTTTTGCGTCGAGGTTTAAAATTATATTAATTATGTATTGAAAATTTGTTATGAAAAGTTTCATAGGCCTACGAAGACTGATTGTGTTAGTTATATAAACCGTAGTTGCATCGACTTGAAGTTTTTCCAAAATTTAATAAAACTTCATGAACTTATGAGTAATATAGGCACCAACCATAGTCAATCTTCAAAATTGTCATTTTATTTATTCTACATTTATTTATCACAAAGTCGTTTCCACACCCGCTACAGATTTAGCTCAATAAAATTATCATATGAATACAGCAGGCGACATTATGAAAATGCCTCGGTTCAGCTTCCGGACGAAGAATTTTCCAAGACGCCGTTTGAGCGAGTACCACTCTGTCAGCTAAGGACGAACTCCCTGCAATACTTACAAGATTTGCATTAAATAACTTTGTTGGTAGTGTACTACATAGTAAAAGATAATTTAGTAAATAACGAAATAAACATTTTATTCGGAAGAATCTTTAGTTCTACTCGGTGAAGTTGAAAAACAAGGACATTATAGGTACGCAAACCTGCGGCGTCTTATAGCGAGAACAACTGGTAAGAAACTCAAAATTGTATTGTTTCGTTAAGAATCTATATTCGTAGTATACCGATAATTCTAAATATAATCATAGCATCATCGATGGCGATATCTTCGTTTAAATCAGTCACCCATTTACGATTCTTAGGATTCACTTCCACGTTTCCTTTCTGTTGATGAGTCAACTATTAACCGATTGTCGATGTTGGTCCTAAACTCGTAAACACTGCATTACCATTTACCGCTCATCCTCTCAGATATATTGCTAGTGATGCGACGTTTCATATCGATGTTTAATGATACCTTTAAATTAAACTTTAATTATACTTTTGTTAGATGTAATATTTGTTTAAAGAAAAATTCTTAAATACTTTAGCAGTTCAAGTCACCATTCTTTAAGAAAATATCAATATACCATTATGAATGCCAGATTGATAAACATATTTTTGATATTATTGTATTTGACAATATTCATTGTTCAATACTGTTAAGAAAGTGCATTAAGAAAATCACTTAGATTACTTATATCTTAATTGATTGTAAACTAAAAAATAAAGTCCAAGTCCTATTTTACATAAATAGATCAGGTCTTTTTATTTTTCCTGTATCTCTTTAAATTTTGTTCGTGCAGCACAACACGAATATCTTGTTTCTTCTTATGCATGTTGACTTACTCTGTAAGTAATAGTTGCGATTTCATGTTAAACCTAAGTGCAGTTCTTGGGTGTTTAATATTTTCAGGTGCTACTTTTCAATTATTTTCTATCAGGTAGATCGTTAAGTTTTTATGGAAAGCGATACTTAATTCTAAGTTATGATTATACCTGATAATTGTAAATGTTTTAGAGCTAATGCTTCCCTTACTTGACTACGCTGATACCTGTTATCTTGATCTTACGGAAGACCAACTAAATAAACTTGAGCGACTTCAAAACTTCTGTATTAGATTTATATTTGGATTACGTAAATATGATCATATATCTCAATTTCGTACTCAGCTCAAGTGGCTTCCTATTCGACTTCGCCGGAATGCTCACATGTTATCTCTTCTGTATAATATTCTGTTTAATCCCCGTTTCCCGCGCTACTTGAAAGAACGATTTAATCCTCTATACTGTTCCACTACACATTCGTTGAGATCATCGGAAAACCTGAAACTTGAAACTCCTCTCCATAACACTACCTTTTATGATGGCTCCTTTACCGTCCAAGCTGTTCGCCTTTGGAATGCTCTTCCGGCTTCCATAAGACAGGCACAATCAATCACTATCTTCAAAGAACTGGTAAAAAATCATTATTTCTCTTTGTAATTCTATGTTGCTAAAACCCTTCCTCGTTTCACTAAAGTATATTATTAGTATATATCTTATGTATGTATATATTATATGTATTTATGTATATATTTTCAAAATGTATGTATCTTATAAGTATTAATGCATCTTTACTAAATGTTACTTATTTTCTTGAATTTACGTACTTTTACTCTGCACCTCCGTTTTTTCATAACTGCTATTCATTCTTCTCCATCCAAAGGTTGTCTGGTAGAAATCGCTGTTAGCGATAAGACCACCAATTGCTACATCATCATGTTATATTTTATTTGTAAATTTTATATTAAAAATTGTAACTGTAAAATAGTGTGACAATAAAGTATTATTATTATTATTATTATAAGCTGTATGGTTTTACACCACTCAAGCACTTTCTAGTGTTCACTCTATTTAATGTGGTCATAAATATCGATAACAGGTAGCCCATCACTAACCATCGCTGCATTAGCAGGCCCGACTCGTGTTACCGCACGTGCGGCGGAAATGTCGTCAGGTAAACAAACACGCGTCACTGTACAACACTAATTACAAACGGGTTAATACAGCTAATGGGTGTAAGCTTGGATCGCTTAAACAAATTACCAACA